GAGGGAGAGAGTAACCAACTGTGTCAAATGCTGACAGATCAAATAAGATTAAATGACCAGTGAATTTAACAATAGGTGGTGATTAGTGACCTACAAGAGCTATTCCACTGGAATGGTAGGGACAAAAACCTAATTGAAGTAGGTTCAATCAGTGGAAGGGGAAAACTGGAGACAGTAAGTATAGACAACCTTTGAAGAAGTTTTGTTGTAAAGATGGAGACAAGTTGAAAGAATATGGGATGAACAAGGTTCCAGGAAGAAGAAATGGATTTTTCAGAAGTGCCAAAGCATGTGAGAGGTAAGCTAGGAACTTCAATTAGCTCAGTCATTAAAGTGTAAAGTGAGTAATAGGTTTGACAGCATAGGCTGAAAGGGAGGCAGAGGCAGAATATCATACTAAAGAATTTGGATTTTTATCCTGAAGGTGAAGCAGAGTAACGATATAATCACCTTTACTTTTTTAGAATATTCTGGGGGCAAAAATGAGGATGGGTTAGAAAAGGAGAAAGACTGAAGACAGGTGATAAGTTAGAGAATTAACTCTTCTAGGAGAAAATAAAGGAGAGCCTGAATTTGGGGTTGGGGCTGCAGAGGAGAGGGCACAGAGATAGAGAAGACATCAGAAAGGTACATTAGAAAAGATTCTCTGGTCTGTGCAGTGGAGAAAGGCCAGAGGAAGGTGTGACTTGCTTCTAATGGGCCAGCCTTCCTAGGAGAGAACCCTGCACATACTCCCAAATTCTTGCCCTTGAAAGATTTCCTTCACAACTACTCCCAATGTCCCGACTTGGAAATTCTACAACCAACTACTCATTCCGCAGGTTTCTTTCCCATATGGCTTCATTTTAAAATTTGAAAACTCCGGAGATTTTCAACATATTAAACTGTTTCACACTAAGGAGTCCTACACCAGGCCCAGAACCTTCCTCAGACTGGGACAGATTTGGGGGTTGACGACGGGGAGGAGTTATAGTTAGAAAAAGATGAACCCAAGGTTTTGAATACTACCTATCTTTGTTTGGCTGGAGCTGATCACATGAATTCCCTGCCCTCGGAGGCCAAAGCGACTGCGGGCACATTGCCGATCCCCCGCCCCTCACTGCTTGTGTCTGTGAGTGAACGATACCCTCCTTCCCCGACCCTCTCCCGCTTCTTAACCTTTCCTCCTAGTCATTTAAGTCTCGTTTCCACCTCAAACCATTACTCCGCTTCTCCCATCCTCCCTCCTCACCTGAACCCCTTTCTCCAAACACTGACTCCAACGCTTGTAGATAGTTACTAGGGAACCGTAGGTGTGGAATTGCATCTTGGGACAAGTAGTCCTAACTAAAAGAAAACAGTGGAAAACTACAATCCCCAGAAGGCAGTTCCATTTCCTCCCTTTTACTCCAATAAGGACCCCCTCAACCCCACCCCTTTCTAAAGACCCTCCTAGCCACGTGGCTTGTATGGGCAAACCCTTTTAAAGCCATTTTTCGTTTGTTTAAATCTACTATTTCGAGAGCACACTGAGGGTTAAAGTGAGAAACAAGTTCAGGCAAGAAAGGAAGAATGAGTTTCATGGCCCCGTCTGGCGGCATGTGGTTAGACAGCCCCTGTAACAGCAGTCCGGCATTTGACGTGGTCACCTAAGAGGTGGGGCCTCTGGCGGGGGCGCCAGGAAACCCCGTGGGCCGGAGCCTTGCTTTCCTTTCCGATCCGCCATCTGCGGTGAGTGTATGTTCTCGGGCGTCTCTCGGGCCAGCGGCGTATCCGCTGCACTGTTCTGTGTTCCCACGTCTGACCCTCCTTCCTTTTCCTCAACCTCAGGTGGAACCGCCGCCAGGATGCAGATTTTCGTGAAAACTCTTACGGGGAAGACCATTACTCTCGAGGTACGGGTCAGATGGCGTGAGGAAGTCAAGGCCTGAATAAGAGCCTGAAGTGGAGTCTGGGACTCCCCCCGCTTTCTGCCGTAAAATGCGCTTGAGAGCCTGGGTTCCGAAAACTGTCCCTGAATTGAGGGTTGTTGGCTGAGTAGGGGCCTAGGGCTGATTTTCGAGATCTGAAGTGCGGGTTCTTAGCTCTTTAATAGTTCCGACCAGTTAGCCAAAGGGGGGGCCCGCGGTGGGGGGAGGGAGGCGCTCCCACCGGTGGGCGCGAGCACGTGTGGCGCAGCCGCCGCTGTGGGACCTGGGCTGGGCTTGGCTCAGGAAGTGTGCTCGCCGGGGGCAGTCCTGGGTGCGTTGTCTGCTCCCTCGGTGAGTGGTCAGCTTTGCTGGGGTAGGCTTCAGCTCTCCACCGGCTAGGTTCTGTGGTAACTTGCAAATTGAATTGGGCGTTTTTTCTAGTTTTTTTTACTGTGATATCGGTATTTGCATTTTTAATCTCATAGGTTGAACCCTCGGATACAATAGAAAATGTGAAGGCCAAGATTCAGGACAAGGAAGGCAAGTAATATTTTCTAGTTCAGGATATTAACCTGTACCGGCGCCAGCATAACTACTGGGCATACGTGCTGTTCGTGGGGTGGGAAGATGTCGGATTGACAAAGTGAAATGCTTTTGAAATAATAACAAATGTTTGTGAGCCTGGGGCCAACCAGGGCTGCTCTTCCTAATTGTGAACTTGGGCCAGCTATTTTAATTCTCTACCCTGCTTCATCCATAAAATGAAGGTGGTAGTAATATGTATTAACTGTTATTGGGATTAAATAAGGTCAGTTGTGCAAGCGTTTAACATGCCTAGCCTGTAGTAAGAATTCAGTGAGTGCTATTAGTACCCTTTATCTGAGTAAGGATTATCCATAAATCTAAGCAGATGCCCTTGTTCTGATGTGACTTTATTTTTTATTAGGAATTCCTCCTGATCAGCAGAGACTTATCTTTGCTGGCAAGCAACTGGAAGATGGACGTACTTTGTCTGACTACAACATTCAAAAGGTCTGTTTGGAGGAAAGAGCAGTCCTTTAAATGTAAATTTTCCTTTGTAAGTTTTGATGAGCACACAAAAGTGGGGGATAATAACGTTAGCAATAGATTCCTAGGTGACTCTTGCATTAACATTGCAGAGACACTGCTATAGTTTCTCACAGCCTGGATTGTGTAGATTGCATCCCATGGTGTGACTTAATGTGTTCTTAAATCTCCCTATAAACAAGTAGTTGATTCCCCCTCCCCCAAGCTTATCTGTGGTACTGTATTTATCAAATCCAGTTAGAAGGTGTGTGAGGCTAGTTGCCCCTTAGTGGAATATGAGCATTGATTAATTTCATCCTCTTCCATTAACAGGAGTCCACTCTTCATCTTGTGTTGAGACTTCGTGGTGGTGCTAAGAAAAGGAAGAAGAAGTCTTATACCACTCCCAAGAAGAATAAGCATAAGAGAAAGAAGGTTAAACTGGCCGTCCTGAAATACTATAAGGTGAGCCAATGTAATAAAAACGTTTCTGGGTGCCTTGTTAGCACAGTAGGCAGCGTGTCAGTCTCATAAAAACGTTTTTATCCACAGATTAATAAATTTTGTTTGCATCTCTGGTTCTAAACTTTCTATTAAATTTTTGTTTTAGAAATTTATAAATTTTTGTTTTATGTTTGGTATTTGAATAAGGTTCATATGAGGTTCACTTTTAGCTGCTTATTCCAAACTAAGTTCTGATTTTGAAGTCGGATCTGGGTTTAGGTCTTAACTCTCAACCACTTGAAAGGCAAGACTTTAATGGGCTCTGAACTATTTTGTTGTGATAATTACTAGTGAGGATTTTGAGTGCTTTGGTTTTAAATACAAAAAACTACACTTTTGTGATATTAAAGGTTGAATTTTGAGTCACTTAGACTTCAGAATATGTTGTAAAATTATCTTAACAGCAGGTTTGTACTTATTTAGGTGGATGAGAATGGCAAAATCAGTCGCCTTCGTCGGGAGTGCCCTTCAGATGAGTGTGGTGCTGGAGTTTTTATGGCTAGCCACTTCGACAGACATTACTGTGGCAAATGTTGTCTGACTTACTGCTTCAACAAACCAGAAGACAAGTGATTATATATGAGTTAATAATAAAAGGCATGAACTAATGAACATTTAATTGTTGAATTTTATTCCAGCAACTTAGAGTGGTTTTAAGTATCCAACTGATGATCACACCATTTTGATAAACTATACATACTTTGGCAGAAAAATTAAGGTTGTATTTAATACCGGTTATCTAATTAAGTAAAAGCCAGTTTCTGTCAGTTTTTTTGTCCATACTACTGAAATTTTGGACCAGGTAATTCTTCGAGGACTGTCCTTGTGCATCATGGCCTCTACCCACCTGATGCCAGTAGCACACCACCCATTCCCACCACCAGGTATATCCAGATTTGCCAAGTGATCCCTGGCATGGTGAGGAAGAGGGAGCTTCCCCCCTCCACTCCAAGAAACACTAATTTGTATGAACTGGTGTTACATCTTGGTTAAACAAAGACTGTGATTCATTTGTTTCATATATAAAACATGTAAAGGCTAAGCTTTCAGTAGTAAATTAGACATCCTGAGTCCCTGGGTGGTTTGGCTGGGATGGATATATGCTATCTACATACAAGGGTATATTCTGTAATGTTGAGTGTGAAATCTTGGAATTTTAAACACTTTCTCCACTAGTTTGTTAACACTGAAAAATAAAGTTTTTGAGAAGTATTTGGCACCATATTTTGTCCATAACTAAATTCAGGGAGGTTTGCTTATCTTGATACCACTCAACTAAAACACGGACTTGAAGTTTATTATAAAGTGATTATATTCTATGGCACACCAATAATTAATTGCCTTTTACCACACCATTCTTTTCAGGATTTCTACTTGGAGTCATGCTTAAATAAGGTTTCCTATTTCTGTAGTGTTTTGACAAGTTATCCATGTTAGTATTTGGAGTAACTAGTAGGGTATTTTTTGACCAGAAGTGGTGAATTCTTACCTTCACTAAAGCAAAACTAGTTGCTCTCTACAATAAAGCAAGACATTTGTTTATAGTTTTTAATTTATTTTTTTAAGTAATAATCCGCCCAGCATACGGTTTGAGCCCTGGGATTAAGAGTTAATATGCTCTACCAGGCACCCCATTGTTTACATTTTTTTTTTAATATTTTATTTATTTATTTGAGAGAGACACAGAGCATGAGCGAGGAGAAGGTCAGAGAGAGAAGCAGACTCCCCATGGAGCTGGGAGCCCGATGCGGGACTCGATCCCGATCCCGATCCTGGGACTCCGGGGTCATGACCTGAGCCGAAGGCAGTCGTCCAACCAACTGAGCCACCCAGGCGTCCCATTGTTTACATTTTTAATAAAATTTTAAAATCCTGGATCCCAGGAAGTCTTGGCTGGAAATTGTTTTTCTTCATAACAAATAATTTCATCTCCCACTTTAAATTCTATCTTTTCTTCACTCAAACTGAGACCGCAATCCATTCCAGTTTTGATGACTGAAACGTCATCTTTATGGTGTTTCAATGAGCTTAATGAACCTTAAAACAGAAAAAATCCAAGGTACATATATATGCAACAAGAAATAAATACTACTAAGTGCTATACAGCTGGTATTGAAATTAAAACTGAAATTCTTGAGTTTTACGGTCACTTTAAATGACAACTAAATACTATGGAAAATCCAAAGGAAAATGGTTTGCTGTAAACAAGACAGGGTTTGCAGTGAAAGATAACTAAATCTCCCATTTCAAAGGGACTTTGCAGAGGACTGGCATATTCAGGACTTAATGAGATAAACTCCGCAAAAGACTACAGGCAAAGGTCAAAAGGAAGTAAGCAAATACAGTGTTGCAGAAAAGTACAGAACACAGCTAGAAAGGTAGTTTTGGGGCCAATTTTTAGAAGCTTAGAAAATTAGATTCCTGACTTACTAGGATTATTATTATAGGTTATTAGAACTTGGAGGGAGCCCATCACCAAGACCAGGTTTGAGTTCCCAAGAAGGAATGGCCTGAACAAGGATACGGGAGTGAACGATTCTCCGATGGTTATACAGAATACGGTTTTGGTGACTGGATCTGATGTCTATTAGAAACAGACTGTGATGTTGCTTACCCTTCCAAATAAGCTCTCCATTACGGATTAATTTAAATTTTTTTTGTTTTTCTAACTGTCCCTTTTGGACTCTGCAGCCAGCCACAGGAACTTTCTTCTTCCCTTCTGTTACAGAAAAGGTAGCTAATATAGAAGCTTCACCTTAAGAAAAAAGAATATTAAGTACACAGAAAACAAAGATTCTAAGAAATACATAATTTCACATATTCCGCATGGCAAGAACGGAAGTGAGAAAAATACAAACTCAAGCACAGATAGAAATCCAAGTTTTCTTTGATTCTGCCAACTTTATTTTCCTGACCACTATTAGAAACATAAACATGAGGGGTTCCTGGATGGCTTACTTAGTTAAGCCTCTGCCTTTGGCTCAGGTCATGATCCCAGGGTCCTGGGATGTAGCCCCTGAATCCCAGTGGGGAGCCTGCTTCTCCCTCTACCGCTCCCCCACTCCTGTTCTCCCTCTCAGTCTTGTGCGCACAGTGGCTCTCTCAAATAAAAATCTTAAAAAAACAAAAAAAAAACCATGAAATCCCTGGGTTTTCTTGGAAAAGAACATCACAAGAATACATGTTTGCCAAAAGAATAAACAAAAGAAAGTGGAATTCATTTTCTTAGCTGAATAAAATGTATTAGAAGATTATAGTTTACTGTCTGTTCCATTAAAACCTACTTTTCAGCTGTCCCTCTATATTTTCTCAAAGATCATCTGTTGGGACACCTGGGTGGCCTGGTCAGTTGAGCATCTGCCTTCAGCTCAGGTCATGATCCCAGGGTCCTGGGATCGAGTCCCATATTGATCTCCTTGCTCAGGAGGGAGCCTGCATCTCCCTCTGCCTGGTGTTCCCCCTGCTTGTGTACTTTCTCTATGACAAATAAATCCTTAAAAAAAAAAAAAATTTGTTTTTAGCTGACTTATTTTTATCTCCCCATGGGTAATTTATATCCACTTAAGAATACTAATTCTGTGACTCAAGCTTAATTTTTTTCACTGAAAATTAAATTATCATCATGTTTAACAGGTCAGAAAAAAAATCTAAAATCTCCGGACCGTAAGAACAGAGAAAATGGTTAAGTAAGTCTCATAAATTTAGGTTTCCAGCTGGCCAAGGGATATGCTAGAAGAAAGTTTTTAAATACGTGATACTTAAATGTAAAGTTAACCATCTTCTCATGGTGGATTTCCCTGCCAGCTTCCAGGACAAAAATCAATGGCTTCCTCCACAGCACTATATATAATCTTTATCCTCCCCATTACGGTCTAATTTGTACTACAATTAGTTGTTGATGTCTAAATTTTAGGGCCTCTGTATGCTCAAGGCAGAAGCACAATGTCGCAGATGGCAGGTGTTTACAATACATATGTAGTTACACTGAATAGATCCATAGTAGTCATTTTTTTCTACAACACAGGATATATATTGGAACAGTGAAGATATTTCAACAGTGAACTACATTTTCCCCTAAACTTTGCTTTCAAGTGTTATTTACAGCACCTAAGATAAGAATTTTCAAAATTCAGTGAACACTCACCTATTGCATGCTCTTCCACAGTGCACGGCAATCTGCTGCTCAATTCCTCCTGCAAATCTTCAATCAGGTGGTAAATGATTTTGTGAAGTTTAATTTTTACTCCTTTTTTTGCAGCAGACTTTAGGATAACATTGCCTACATTCACATTGAAGCCATATATAACACCTGGCAAGCAGAAAAACAATAAAGTAACACAAATACTGCATTAAACACTTCTTTCAAGTAGAAACTCAAATCTAAATATTGTTTTATTTGCAGGGCACCTGGGTGTCAGTGTCTGCCTTCAACTCAGGTCATAATCTCAGGGTCCTGGGATCGAGCTCTGCATCGGGCTCTGCTCAGCGGGAAGCCTGTTTCTCCCTCTCTCTGCCACTAGCACTACCCCGCCCCCGCAACTTGAGCTTGTTCTCTCTCTCTCTAATAAATAAAATCTTATAAAAAATAGTTTTATTTCCTTCTATGTAAATTAAAAGCAAGTACGGAAAATGAGAAATTCTGTAATTTTTTCTCATGAAAACTTATTAGTTTCCAAATTAATGACAAGATTTTATAAATTATCATTTAATAAGGAAAATTATGATTTTTAAATCCATCCATTTAAGAGACAAAAGTGCCCATAGTATGCAAGGCAGTATGCTAAACACAACTTTGATTCTTATACCAGAGAAATAAAAATTGATTAGGGCTGAAATACATTATTTTAATAACTGTATTACTAAATTATAATCTTATTGTCTACAACTTTTTGCGGGTTACTCATAAGTATTAATTTGCCCAAAAGATGGTCAATAACAGTAACTTAATTGGTAAAGATCAAGAGTTATTTTAGAAATGAATTTCCATGGAGCTGACCATTTTACCAAAGAATCGTGTATTTATGGGCACATGGGTGGCTCAGCAGGTTGAGTGTCTGACTCTTAATTTTGGCTCTAGTCATGATCTCAGGGCGGTGGGATGGAGCTCCACCCTCTGCAGGAATTCTGCTTCTTCTCCTGCCACTCCCCCTGCTCACACACACTCTTTTTCTCTCTCAAATAAATAAATCTTAAGAAAAAAAAAAAAAGTATGTATTTAACTGCAAATAATTTGGAGGGAATAAAAAAGTACAACACTGTTGAGACGCCTGGTTGGTTCAGTTTGTTAAGTGTCTGCCTTTGGCTCAGGTCATGATCCCAGGGTCTTGAGATCAAGTTCCACTTAGTGCTCCTTGCTCAGTGAGGAGCCTGCTTCTCCCTCTGCCCACTCCATCTGCTTGTGCTCACTCTTTCTCTCTCTGACACATAAATAAAATCTTAAAAAAAAAAAAAAAAGGCAAAACACTCTTACCTTAAGTGAAAAAAAATAATGCAAACTACTTAAGAGAAAAACACAACCAAAGTGTGTTTGAAAGTCTTATCATTAAGAATTCATTCAACATACTATCAACATTTCACAGTATAGCGTAGGCCAGTCAGTGCCTAGAAAATACTTGGAATTAACCAGCATTACTAAACATACCTTTTCAATAGTACAGGTAACATCTAATTTTAACCAAGTCCAGTCATGAGGTAGCTCCTTTCTAAGTGATTCATTAATTACTCAATAAAATGTTGGTGCTTTGCTCGATAGACTTAAAGTGACAGTCATGAGTCACCTTTTTGTACTTTTTGTATATCATAAGTTCAACTAATAAACAGTCCCCCCCGCCTTCTAGACATTTAAAGCTAAAAACAGCGCTCGCTTTGGAAGCACATACACTAAAGCTAAAAACAGCTTTGAATTTAAGAGATAGGACTTGTAAAATTACCAATAAACAAAAAACAGGTAGACAAAAGTAAAAAGATGAAGTGCTGAAGAGGCTGATTACAGTATTAAGAGCATCCAAGTCTAAATAAAGGATAACCAACCTTGGACTGGGTGGGGAATTGGGAGGGGGCAGAGGACAGTAATCTTCAAAAACCAAACCAAAACAAAACAAGAAACACTACTGAGGCTTGAGAGTTCCCGAAGGTTGCAGTACAGGGACAATGAGCAGAGCTACGGCTGCAATACTGCACATTCCATTCGGCTCCATGGCTAGGGCTCCACTACAGCAGGAAGGGGGATGCTTCTAAGGGTAAATGGCAGATTGACTAGCCAAGCAACAAAAGACAGAAGCAAATGGTTCACACTGTGTTCTAGGGAACACAGTTAAACCAATAGCAAAGAGAATCCTTACCACGAAATGTTTCAGCAAGGTTAACATCATTTTCACTGACATCACCCACACCAAAATGTACTAATTCAAGTTCACACTCATGTGAAGCATCATAGGTATCCATGATGTTCACAATGGCCTCAACGGAACCATCAACATCACCTAAATGCAGCAGAAGTTTAAAGTTACTGGTGTTAAGAGGCATTAACAGACACAGAAATGACAAAAATCTATTAAAAGCCATAACAGGAATGCCATTTACCACTAAATCCATTTTTATTTAGGTTTAGCATTATAATTATCTATTTAACTTTAAATAAAGTATAATGAACCAAATGTACATTTACAACAAAATCAGCAAGAAAAATGTTTATTAAAATCTCCTCCAGGGGCGCCTGGGTGGCTCAGTGGGTTAAGCCTCTGCCTTCGGCTCAGGTCATGATCCCAGGGTCCTGGGATTGAGCCCCGCATCGGGCTCTCTGCTCAGCAGCGAGCCTGCTTCCCTTCCTCTCTCTCTCTCTGCCTGCCTCTCTGCCTACTTCTGATCTCTGTCTATCAAATAAATAAATAAAATTCTTTAAAAAAAAAAAAAAAAATCTCCTCCAGTAAGGGATGGGCAAAAATGGTGAAGGAGGGCAAAGGCATGAACTTCTGGTTACAAAATAAGTAAGTCATGAGATGTAACATACAGTATAACAACTATAGTTAGTAATACTGTATTACATATTTGAAAGTTGCTAATAGAGATCTAGAAAAAGTTCTTATCACAAGAAAAAAAATTTTGTAATTATGTACGATGATGGATGTTAGCTAGACTAACTGTGATGGTCATTTTGCAATATATACTAATATCAAATCATTATGTTATATACCAGACACTAACATAATGTTATATGTCAATTACATCTCAATTAAAAAAAAAAATCTCGGGACGCCTGGGTGGCTCAGTTGGTTAAGCAGCTGCCTCTGGCTCAGGTCATGATCCCAGCGTCCTGGGATCGAGTCCCGCAACGGGCTCCTTGCTCAGTGGGGAGCCTGCTTCTCCAACTGACTCTGCCTGCCACTCTGTCTGCCTGTGCTCACTCTTGCTCTCGCGCTCTTGCGCTCTCTCTCTCTGACAAATAAATAAATAAAATCTTTAAAAAAAAAAAAAAAAAAAATCTCCTCCTGGGACACCTGGATAGCACAGTAGGTTAAGCATTGGACTCTTGGCTTTGGCTCATCAGGTCATGGGATCAAGGACTGTGTTGGGTTCCGAGCTCAACGTGGACGGAGCCTGCTTTACTTTCTCTGCCCCTCTCCTTCTTTCTCAGTTTCTCTCTCAAATAAATAAATAAATAAATGTTTAAAAAAAAAACCACACACTACCCCTAAATGCCAAAATAATTTTAGCTTAAATTTAATGGCCCAAATTGTGAGAATGAAAAAATACATATATTTAAAAAATTAGTTTTAAAGTACAATCTTTCTAAAGTCACCTTTAATAATTATAGGAAGAACGTGTGAATCCCTTTCTTCTTTCTCTTTTGCCTTCAAGGGTTTTTGTTCTTTTCTTTCTTGGTACTTTAGAAAGGATCTCTCCTTCCAGTGTACGTTGCCATACTTCTCACGGGCTTTCTGATGTGCTTCTTGGTGCTCCTTTCGCTTTTCTTCTATTATTTTTAGATCCTCTTTATTTTTCTCCTGTTCCAGCTCATACTTTCTCCAGTCAACAACTGCACGTGCCCTTGGCTTTACAGGGAAAAAAAACAGGCATTATTTAATTAAATAGAAACCAATAATTTATGCATTATATTTTTCCCCAACTTAGCTTAGCTTAACTCCTATATAAAACTTTAATCTGGGAGCTTTGTGTGTAACAGATGATTTAATTTAAAAATATTAGCTCAAGTTTTTAAAAATTCTATAGCCAAAATCTAAAATGGCACTACTGGCCCCCTCACAGGCCCTTATAGTCTAAAAGTATTTGTTAACATAACTATACTTATTTGGTATGACATTAGAGATTAATACTTAAAACCACTGTTATCATATCGAATATGTAGGAATTAGCTTAATATACCTCAGATTCTACTTCAAGAATTTCATCTCCTGCAGAAGGGAGGTCTCTCCAGCCTACAATTCCCACTGGCATGCTGGGGCAGGCTTCATGGATTGTTTTTCCATTCTCATCAAACATTAAGCGTACTTTTGCCCAACTCTTTCCAGCAACCAGAATCGAGCCTTTCCTCAAAGTTCCTCTTTGAATTATAGCTGTAGTAACAGGACTAAAATGAAAAGAAATGTATATATTCTTAATGCTATAATCAGGATGTAAGAACATTTTCTTAAGTAGAGCAAAGATATCTTTATGAGACTTAAATATATATATACATATATTATGTACACACACGGTTTAATCCCACTTCCCATGCAGGCTTTCATACTATAAAAACATTTCTACTTAATTGCCAAAAGGTGGAAGCAAACCAAATGTCCATCAACTGAAAAATAAAGAAAATGCAGTATATACATACAATGGAAAATTATGCCAGCTTAAAAAAGAAGGAAAGCCCTTTCATATGCTCCAACATGAACGAACCTACCTCAAGGACATTATGCTAAGTGAAATAAGCCAGTTAAAAAGGACAAACACTGTATGATTCCACCCATACGAAGTATCTAAAGTAATCAAAATCACAGAAACAGAGAACTGAAAGATAGTTGCTAAGGGCTGGGGAAGAAAGGAGAGGAAATTAGTGTTTCACAGGTATGCAGTTTCAGTTTTACAGGATTAAAAAGTTCTAGAGATCTGTTGAACAGCAATGTGAATATACTTAATACTACTGAACGATATACTTAAAAATGGTTAAGATGGTAAATTTAATGTTATGCTTCTTTTATCACAATTTTTTTGAAAAATGGAAAAACAAAACCATTTCTTATAAGCGTATGGTAGTGGAAAGTGCAGATAACTGAGTGTTCTGACAGAAACCTCATCCTCTTTCTGTAACTAATTTGTTAAGCAGTGAAACTTCTTGCTGATAGGGAGAAAAATTAAAGAAGAAAAGAGCAATCCAAAGACCTTCTTATATATTATATTAATGGGGAAGGACATAAATAATCTAAGAACCCTAAAATGCAACAATTACTATTTCATTCCTATTTGTTGGTCTATGAGGCTTTATTTACAAATTCAGTTAAGTCAGTGGGAAAAAAAAAATTCAAACTGAACTACTTATGTCATCTAAATGTGACTAGTAGATACATAGAGATAGTTGCTATGGTCTACTAATAACTGCATCTTTTGTTCTATGTGCTAGTGCAATAAAATGCTTTTCAAAGCAAATGCTTTGAAAATATTGTTCATGGGGCACCTGGGTGGCTCAGTCATTAAGCATCTACCTTTAGCTCAGGTCATGATTCAGGGTCCTGGGATCGAGCCCCACATCAGGCTCCCAGCTTGGTGGGAAGCCTGCTTCTCCCTCTCCCACTCCCCCTACTTGTGTTCCCTCTCTCGCTGTGTCTCTCTGTCAAATAAATAAAATCTTTAAATAAAAAGAAAAAAAATATTGTCCATGTCTAACAATAAAAATAATACACTGTTATATAATCAAGTCTTAAAAACAATGAAACAAAATTATTAAAAAGCAAGAATTTTTAAAGTCCTACCCTCTTCCTTTGTCTGTGAAAGATTCTATTACTGTTCCTTCTACTGGACCAGTGGAATCTGCTTTCAATTCTAACATTTCTGCCAAAGCAACTGTTGCCTCTGCCAAAGCCATCAGATTATCACCCTGTAACAAAAAAAAAGTGTTAACATACAATAATAAAATATTATCTGTAAATTTATATACGAAGGTCAGAAAGCCAAACTATTCTTTACAGTTTATTATATGTTTCTCTTTAAGCATTAAAAGCATGAATTATCTAATTAGAAAGGAAGCAAGGAAAGGAGGAAAGGAGGAGGGGAAGAAGGGAAAAAGGGAGGGAGGGAGGAAAGAAAGGGAAGAAAGAACAAAGGAAGGTAAAGCAAGAAAACCTGATCCAGGGACAGATCTTTCAAGGAAGAATGGCCACTAGTGTGCTCTTTAATACTCTTTCATAAACATATGCTTCATTCATTCATTCATTCTCTCTCCTCCACATGTCTCTACTTTCTTTACAATGCTATTTTGCACTTGAAGTTTATCCAACTGAACAAGCTTTCACATCTATTATTTCATTTGATCAACTTAAGAATGCTATGAAATAAGTATATCAAACATTACTTACTCTTATTAAATAAATAAGGAGAAAAAGTATGAACCAGACCCAGGCTTTAAGATATACTCTGTAATCACCCAGCTATACAATCTTGAAGAATCACTTCTCCCCCCTGGATCTCCTTTCCTCAACTGTAAAACGAGGAAGCTAGATTAGATGACTGTTTCACCTTTAATGATCCAAGTTTACTATGCTTTCTACGGCTCCAAGATCACACAGCTGATTATGTGGAGATGGAACTGACGGGCAAGGGATTTTTCCATTCTCTGAGTCAGCTAAGGGATTGTTCAGTTGTCAGAGTATAAAAAAATAGGATAAGTGTAAACAAAGCTGATAAAATAACTTGCTCACCTATCCACTTATTACTAGTATTTATTCCAATTTACAAAATCCTGTCCTGAAAAGCAGAGCTAGGCTATTTCTTTGCATGAAGTGTCTTCTATCTCTACTTGGAAAAAAAGGCCTCATCTTACTTCCTGCCACTCCCTCCCAATTTCCTCAACTCCCCAGAAATCATCTCTGCCCTGACTCCAAGTGTGGCTAAGCAGCTTTACATTTATCTACTCACCTCCTGGTACCTGGGGAGAAAAGGTGACCATGCCTTCAAATGTTTTAGTCTTGCCACATGGCTTTCAGAGTGCAAAAGCAATCGGGGTAGAGTGGAAAGATAACAACGCAAGGTAGCATTTTATGAGTTTCAGAGAAAAACAGGCATGGCTTTACTATTAATGGAGGCATGATTGCTAAGCATCTTAGAGGTAACAAATTTAGGAAAATTAAAGATAAAATGAGACGTAACTAGAGGAAGGTGGCTAAATATAGTATCATCCTTCAGTGAATGAGGAGAAAAAAAGTATATTATGTACAAACGATGGAATATGGCAAGAATGGACAAAAAAGGAAATGTCACTTAGCAGCAACCTGTATAGGATAAGAGAATTGGAAAATGCTGTCATACAACAGATACTCAGCTTCCCTGGTGTTTTTTAATCAGAAAATAATAATTGGTCACTGAGAAGACAATGGAATTCATCATAAATAACATAAACTTATAGCAATTTAATTCACAGAAACACTGAATTAATCAGTAACAACAAACTGAACCCAAATGTTTTTATCTTTGTATTAGTGAAGTTTTTGTTTAAATCTCCCTTAAATGCCCTAAACCTATATTTTTTCCACTATAGAAACAAGTACTTTTTATTACAAATTGATTTCATTTCTGCTTAAAAAAGTCTTTAGCAGCCTACTGTAACCCTATCCTCACATTCACCATTTGTTCTCATTCTACATATCTCATAATAAGAAATGCATTAGGTATGGGGGCTCCTGGGTGGCTCAGTGGGTTAAAGCCTCTGCCTTCAGATCAGGTCATGATCCCAGGGTCCTGGGATTGAGCCCCGCATCGGGCTCTCTGCTCAGCAGGGAGCCTGCTTCTCCCTCTCTCTCTGCCTGCCTCTCTGCCTACTTGTGATCTCTGTCTGTCAAATAAATAAAAATCTTAAAAAAATAAAAAATAAAAAAGCTAGAAAAGCATTAGGTATGGACTTCTCCTGGACACTATTCAGCTGTGTAACCCTGGACTGGTGATCTGCCAAAGCAAGGTGATGATACCAGCTTTGCCTAGTACTACAGAGGACTTCTAAACAACAGAAATGCTATGTGTCAAGATGTTGTTTCTGGGCACTTTCTGCATTAGGTACAGCAGGCCCATCTGGACACATCATCTCTGAGCTGCCTGCATTTACCGTGAGTGCAGAGATGTGCACTGCTTGGACATCGCCGCCATAATCTTCACAGACCACGTCATAAGCTAGCAGTTCTTTTTTCACTTTTTCAGGATCAGCCTCAGCTTTGTCACATTTGTTTATGGCAAGGACGATAGGAACTAAAAGAGAGTTAAAAAGAGAGCAGATGAAGACACCTTCAAAGCCAGGTATTGAGAGTGAGACACCAAATTTTTCTGGCTTTCTCTTTACTCAGTAGATGTACTAAGCTAAAAGACAGATCTCAAAAAACAAAACAAAACAAAAAAAAAACGTGCTTTAGACCCCCTTTACTCTGCCTTCTGCACATAAGGAAGGATTCTGGATGTGAGATGTCAAAACTATCATTATAAGCAGATTCTGAATTAAGAACAGATACCTAAGATGATAAAAACCAACCAAACAAAAAACAGCATTTTGAGTAGAGAAAGGCCTATCTTTTAACCTAAATGTAATTATCAGCAACTACACTGAAGATAATCTCCAGGCAAAAAAAAAAAAAAAAAAAATTAAGAGAAGATTTTAATCCAATTCTAAACTACTAGATCATCTGCAACTAGCTATTAAGTCATTTAAAGCCCGACACTGCATTCTGAGGTGAAACTAAGTAGCATTATTATACACTTTCTTTTAGGATTTACAGCAATTCTTTATTCATACATACTCATTGAGTATCATAGTAGAGTCTCAATAAATGTTTGCTTAATGAATGAGCCAAATAATCTTATAATCTACTTGTCAATATTAAACACACCCTCACATTAGAGAAATTGCATAAAATGCTATGAGATAATTCTCTGGTTGGGAATCAACTTTGTAATTTCCTCAGGTATCAAAAGAAGGAAAATTGAAAACAGACACAAAAAACTCATACAATCCACAAGCTACTATTATGAAAAAGTACATTCTGTATGAATGAACTGGAACTTAACAGGGACAAGAGAACAGGTATAGAAAGCATGATGTAGGGGTGCCTGGGTGGTTCAGTGAGTGAAAGTCTCTGCCTTCAGCTCAGGTCAGATCACAGGGTCCTGGGATTGAGCCCGGCATCGGGCTCTCTGCTCAGTGGGGAGCCTGCTTCCTCCTCTCTCTCTACGTGCCTCTCTGCCTACTTGTGATCTCTGTCAAATAAATAAATAAAATCTTAAAAAAAAAAAAAAAAGTATGATGTAAGAAATTCATCCTATCTCAACTACCTGCTTTATGCAAATCCCCAGCAAATTTATCACTTTCCTCTTTTTGTTATATTCCCTAGAATCACTATGAACATAGTCCATTCCACTAAGGCAGTTTTGAAGAATTAAAAAGGCAAAAGTAATACTGGAAACTAGAAGACCAGATTCCAAATATGGAAAATTTTCTCGTGCCAACAAACCTAGGGGAATATGATGCATGCTTCATCAGGTACATTTTCTCAAGAGAGCAGTTATTTTCTCAGTGGGTGTAGGGTCATATCAGAGTAAGAATGAATGTACAAAGTATGTGTGTGGAGGGAGTGGCTATTACTAAAGTTTTTAAATGAAGAAGCAAGAGAGAAGATAGCTAAGTGATTTTCTAAAAGTTCAATTTTATACCTTTGACCAAATAAGAACTTATTTTAAGCATATGAAGGAGAAGTTTCTCTTTACGTTTTTTTTAAGATTTTATTTATTTACTTGAGAGAGCAAATGAGCATGAGTAGGGGAAGGAGCAGAGGGAGAGGGAGAAGCAGACTCCCCACTGAGCAGGGAGCCAGACTCGAGAGTTTATCCTGGGATTTCAAGATCATGACCTGAGTCAAATGCAGATACTTAAATGACTGAACCACCCAGGCACCCTGAAAAGTTCCTTTCCGAGAATTCCGGACAACAAATGAACAAGGAACAATAGAATATCACCACTTTGCAACTCCTAATGTATTCAGATGATGGATACATAGAAGTTTATTATTCTGTTCTTACTTCTGTAACTGTTTAAAATTTCCATGATAAAAATTTTTTAAAAAGTCACTGGAAGCCATTAAATTCTCACACCATGCCAAGTAAGGAAACAGTATTGGAAGGACTGTATTTGTGATCCCACATACCCAGTTGAATCCTACTACACTCTTCTTAGTAGTTATGTCTGTGGGAAAACAATTCAACTGTCTTTGAGCCCTATCTGTAAAGAGGTGTAATAATCCTGGGATTGCCAGAAAGATTATATGAGCTCCATGTAAAGTGCCCCAAAAGAACGACTTTAAGTAGAACTTTTTTTTTTTTTTTTAAAAGGCAACTTCTTTCCTGATATACGTAAGTCAACCACATGGTACCTTGAGCATCTTTGGCATGCTGAATAGATTCTACAGTTTGTTTCATCACTCCGTCATCTGCAGCTACAACCAATATGACAATGTCAGTGACCTGAGCACCTCTGGCTCTCATTGCTGAGAAAGCAGCATGTCCTGGAGTATCCAGAAAGGTAATCTTTTCCCCAGAAGGCAGAGAGACTGTGGAAAGAGAAACCCAAGAACACTGAGGACTCAAATATGTACTTTCTTAATACAAAGAAATACATGTGAAATTATCAAACAGAATCAACAATTCTTAAAATGACTTATTCTTTCCATTAATCTTAATCAGGAACAATACAGATCATCATTTCACACTGAAAAATAACAAAGCAGTGAAACCTTTAGGGTTTTCCTTCCATGTAATAATTTCAAACTTAAACTCTTTCTAGAATATACTTTTCATAAAAAAGCAACTGGTATGTATCAATTCTGGAGAACAGAGCAACAGTTAATAGGCAGTCTCCCCTTCATTAGCAAACATCAGCTGCACAACTACCCTCAGCAACAAATGCTATTTAGTATATGGTTAGAAGCTTAGAATTTGAGCCCAAACCCAGCCTTGAGTGTAAATCCTGGCTCTGCCACTTACTAGCTGGATACCCTCAACAAGTAGCTTAAATCTACACAAGCCTCAGCATCCTTATCTATAAATAAGAATATCAATACCTACCTCATGATGTTGTTGTGAAGATAAAAAAGATAAGGCATATAAATAAGGTGCTCACCACAGTGCTGGGCACTTGCTAGGTGCTCAATAAATACTAGCTGTTATTTAATTATTAACAATGTTATCAAAACCTAGCACTGAAGAACTGTAGCCTCATTAAACCAAACTAAGAATGAGCCAGGATAAAAAAGGTAATATCATCTTCTTCCTATAGAATGTATAAAATAAGCCTTATTAACCAACTGCTCTATATTTCATTAGACCAATGGCTTTAAGCTCTAGGCTCCCCTTTTATTTTGAGTTTGTCTATCTCATACTGTGACACTCGGTTTAAGAAAATAGTATGTGGGGGTCCCAGGCACATTGTAAGATAATGTGTGTCCATACCAAGAAAGGCACCAATGTGCTGAGTGATGCCTCCAGCTTCCATTGCTGCCACTTGAGTTTTTCGCAGTTTGTCAAGTAACGTCGTTTTCCCATGATCAACATGGCCCATTATAGTAACAACTGGGGACCTTGGGGTTAATAAAGCTGGATCTGCCTGAGGCCTACAATTAACAGCAAAGGAGTTTCATTTCTTAAGTATCTTTATAGCCAGTAAATTGGTTTGCAGTCATCTCTGTGCACTACCATTAACAATAAAACCCAACATTCAGCTTTGATTAGATAGCAGTATCTTCCTCTTCCATAAATGCAATGACCTATAGCAAAATATATGACTGCCCGTGTACAGTTGGCATCTTCACAACTATAAGATTTTTAAGATTCAATAAGACTCAATAAGATTTTTAAGTTCAGGATCAATATACACACTCAGCAAACTAAGAAATATAACCCTCAGAGTTTTATAACGTGAATATACTTTCCAATGTTTTAAACACTTTGAAGAAAAATTTAATCTATATTCCACATCAATTTAACTGCAAAAAAATTTTAAGGTGTATCTTTCCATTATAAAGTGTGAATAAAACTATGTGGTTTCCTTCCACCAATATACAGGGTTAAGTTTTACCTTCTTACAGCATCTTTATTTTCTCTGACTTTGTCCTGTTTTAATTTGCTCCATTTTAACTTCATCCCCGCCTTCTTAACTACTTCTTTGATCCAGACTTCATCTAAACGTGAGTATGCTTCTAGTGAATCTAAGTCAATAGCAGTGTTCATTAAAGCTTCATATACACAATCTGGGTGGAAGAGATAAGACCTTTTAGGATCATGAATTAAATGTTCACAAAAGTGACCTCTATTAATAAAATGTCTAAATATGAACAATACACTCAATGAAAAGAACAACTATATAAGCTGTTCCTCTAATGTTAACAAATCATAAACAAGCTGAAAGAAATTAATCTTTAAAATATGATTCATCTATATTGACATTGCTGCATTCATAAATATTTGAATATTTATGTACTATAAGAATCATCTGAGCTACCCATAAAACATTACAGGTTGTATACATTTATACTGAGCAGTTTATCACAGCCTAGTTCTTTGAAAACGTGTAGTTACACATGTCATGCATGTCACACACATATATAAATGTGTATGTATATATAGTCAATTCTCATTATTCATGGTGGGTATGTTCTATAAATCCACCACGAATACTGAATTAACAACTACTAAACCATCATCCATGGGGAAATACAAGGTTAGGTTCTTCCAGTTCCCAATCACATCTTCATTAGCCGATCAATACATATTATGTGTTTCTGTTTCAAGATATCTTACTTAATATATACTGTTGATTCAGTAATGCTGAACTCACAGCCAAAAGCACTAAACCCAGTACGTGAACATAGTTTATCTAACACATGTATTTTCTCTGTAAAGCACATTATGGCCTTCTTGCAAGTTAGTAACACTGAACAGCACTTCATTCAGTACTATGCTTAGGAACCATTTTCATCAGCAAAATCAACAAAAAGGACAAAAATGTGAAAACATGACATTAAATAAGCCACAAAATGATGCTTGTTTACAGCATAAGAGCTAAAGCAAAAGGCAAAAGTTGCTTTGTTGAACCTCAGCTAGGAATGTGTGATTGGGCAATTCAAACTTTTCACTGCTCCACGCATGTCCAGGAATGACTGCAAAAGCATTCTGAATATTGATTTGGGGCTATAAATACATTTTAGAGAATTCGGCAACAAAAAACCCCCAAATAATAAGGATCAATTTTATGTATATACACACACATACAGAGTGTCTCAGAATAAACATAACACATATAACTTATTTATTCATTTATGTACCTATTTAGGGTGTCCAAAAAGTCTTGAAATACAGGACAAATATTTACTTATTATTTTTTGCATTTTACTTGATGTACTTTGTTTTCATTTGTCATATTTCCCTGTAGATAATAAATTAATGTATCTGTGATGATAATAAGTAAATAGTTTTATGTTTCTAGACTTTCAATTACCCTTTAAATATATATTTCAAGGAGCACCTCGGTGGCTCAGTGGGTTAAAGCCTCTGCCTTCAGCTCAGGTCATGATCCCAGAATCCTGGGATCAAGCCCTGTATCAGGCTCTCTGCACAGCAGGGAGCCTGCTTCCTCCGGCTCCTCCCCTGCCTGCCTTTCTGCCTACTTGTGATCTCTATCAAATAAATAAAATCTTAAAAAAAAAAATTTTTTTAAATGTATATATATTTCAAGAAACAGATGTGAAAGAAAGGGATCCTCAAATAAGTAGAACACAATTCAAAAAGAATATCCTATTCACTAGTGTGCAGGTAAAGGTTTACTCACAAGACTCTCCAAAAAAAAAAGAAAAAACCTTTCATTATTATAGCATTTCTCAAGTTCCATAGTGCAAATAATCCCACCATGGTTGATTTCAGCTACCAACACGAAGTCAATGAACACAGAGATAGAAAGAGACAGGCAGTAGTGCACTGTTAAAAAAAAAGAAAAAAGTTACTATTAAAAATATTTTCCTGGGGGAGCCTGGGTGGCTCAGTGGGTTAAAGCCTCTGCCTTCAGCTCAGATCACGATCCCAGAGTCCTGATATCAAGCCCCGCATCGGGCTCTCTGCTCAGCAGGGAGCCTGCTTCCCTTCCTCTCTCTCTGCCTGCCTCTCTGCCTACTTGTGATCTCTGTCAAATGAATAAATAAAATCTTAAAAAAATATATTTTTCTGCTGGCACTACAGATATTGTTATAATGAGTGAAAAAAGAAAATCAGAAATTACAGACAACAAAAGGAAAGTTAAGTATATAGTACCTCAGCCCAAAATCCTTCTCTGGACTTACTCTAAAAGCCTACAGAATTTCTGAGAAAGAAGGGTTAGTGCAGATGAGAAAATCTTTTTCACTTTTATTAAAAGCAAAATTTTAGAGAACTATATTTGGCTGGTAAAGAGACAAGAAACTAATTAGAGTTTATGACCTAAAGTGAAAAATACTGGAATGATTTAACATCTTTTTTAAACCATCAGTCTAATTTTCATCTTTGAATGTCTTCAGTCTCACTGCAAATAAAAATGTAGGTATTCCATTTCCCATATTTTTCCTTATAAAATTATCTGACCCACCTATGTCTTTTTCCATTGCTCTGGCCAGTTCCTCAACAGTCATTCCAATCCATACCTCCACCTCCTTTTTGGATTTTGTTGAAAATAACTGAGATTTCTGTGATCTTTCTTCCTATTAGAAATTCAGGATGCATACAGAAGGAAAAAAAAAAAAACTTTAAGTGACAGTATAGATTTATTCTGGAATATCTACCATAATAACAACTCCTATTTCTACCAACAGTCCCATAACTAGTTAAACCTTAGATTAAAATTTACCGTCCTATGCCCCTACTCCACTATTATATACTAATTTCCAAGTAATCAAATTCATCAGCATTAATGAACAACAAACTAGAATGTGCCTTCCTCACAAAGATTTACTGCCTGGAGTCCAGCATTAAGGAATAAAATTCTATAATGACAATATACCCAAATAATATAATAATAATAATATATATATATATATAACATATATATATAATAATAATATAATAATTCATCTCAGACCAAATAATATAGTAACTGATAGAAATCTGTAACTACCTTCTTTGTTACTAGAAGCCTATATTGAGATAAAGCCGCCCCGATGAGCGGGTCTGTTTGCCAGGGCCGAATGCAGAGCTGAGCTGTCCACACCGGGTAAGCAGATGAAAACACATGATTCCACTGTGCTAACCTTCTCTGACCCAGGCTGTGCAGCTGCCTAAAGACAGTGTGAAATCGTAGTAAGTTCTCCAATTTCAGTATCTTCTGGTTCATGTTTCCCCTGGAGAAAGTTTTAAAATAGTATCTTGGTTAATATGAAAATCAAGTTAGCAAATATTAAGTGGATTTCTACTCCATGAAAAACACTGTGCTAGAGTTACAACAGTAAGTTCAGCTAGATTCCCGCCCTGAAAGAACTCATGGCTAATTCAGGGAGATGGAATTTCATACTAACTATTCTGTAGATGTTAACGATCATTATTGTTAATGTACCTACCACAACAGAACTGAAATACAATTTACAAAGTGATTTTTTTTTCATTCTTCAAACATCAACTAACCAGATCACAACTAGAGTGACTTTTCTAAAACGCAATTTTGAACTTATCAGCTCTTTGTTAAACACCCTCCAGTGGCTGGCCATTATCCCCTTTAATGAAAACATGCTATATAAGGACTCATTAACTGCCCTCTGCTAACCTCTCACTTCATCTGTTACTCTTACCGTCCCCTCCCTCCTATCTCCGAGCTATCTCTGACCCCCCTTGTAATTTCCAATGGCTTGTCATCTAATTTTTGAATCCTTGCATATGCTATCTCTACTTGGAACTGTCTTTCAAGCCTCAATATTTTTCCCTCTTCCGACCTCCCCCTCCCCCAAAAAAGATTAGAGTGGGAAGGAGGCGCCTAATAAATATCTATTGAATAATGCCTTTTGAATGTTATTCTTGTAATGAAAGAAGAGTTACCTAAGAGAAAACTGCAACAGAATTTAATAGTGTAATTCAGAACTCAGGAGTATAGTTATTTTCTCCTTGAGTTGTCTTTCCGCTCTCAGTACTGCATTTCTACAGCTTTGCTTTTCACTTTTTAAAGAGCCACTAAAATAATGTAAGATGTACAGGTTCTCTCCTCAACATTTCTTGAGTACCATCTTCCAGGCATTACATTTGAGGATGCTGACTCAAAGTTTAATGAGCCAGAGTCCCTTCCTTCAGAATTTACTGTCCTTAAAAGTTCCAATATAAGATTCTTAGGCACATGAAACACCTCAAGAATGGCACATTTTTAAAAAATCTTACTTAGGTACATGTCCCTGGCCTAAGAAGTAAAGAGATTCATTCCTCTAAGAAAAAGAATTTTAATGAGCCTAAAACGAGATGTAACACGGGCATAAATTAGCAGAATGGAAAGAAAAGCACTCCATGGAAACTAACTAAAGCACAGACAGGTAACTGAAAAACACACTGCGGGGCGGGGCGGGGGTGGGGGTGATAATGCAGGTGTGAAAACTGTTAGGAACCTTACTTGCTACTTATTCCAAGCTCCTCATTTCATAGAAAAGGAAAACGAAGAGTCCAGAGAGGTCAAAAAGATTTCTCCAAGGTCATACCACCAGTTAATGACAGGCCGAGAAGACAGACTGACTCCCAATTCGCTGTTCTTTCGCAGCTAGGCTATCCTCATCACGGAACCCGAAAAGAGATGCTACAAATACGTAGCTGCGTTAGTGGAAACGGCTTAACGTAGGAGCTGTCAGCTTTGGAATTTATCTAAAAAGTAAAAAGAAGTCATTGTAGAAAAACGACGGCCCTCGAACCCGGCGAAAACTTCGCCTGGAACCCGGGCCGGGAAAGCTTGGGTCCTGGGCATGCGGGGCTCGCGGGAAGCGGGAGCTAGCCCGCCGCTCCCGGCCGAATAAAGCTTTCGCTACGCCAGGAGCGGATTCCCGCCGGGATTAAAGCCGTCGCGGAAAGGCTTCTGATCGCTCAGTGTTTATAGTCGGTGCCACTGCCACTTCAGGCTAACAATACACGTCCCCCGGGACGACCCGGCAAGGAAACCCCACTCACTTCGCTGCTACATTAGGCCCTGGGCGACCGGACTCTGAAGCAAAGCGGAGATCACCTTTCGGGCCCAGGACAAAATACGTCAGCCCATCAGTCCGTCCCCGAAAAGGTCCCCGATGGACTTCCGGTACTGCCGGAAGAGGTCCTTCCCGAAAATAGGATCCCCGAATCCGAAATAGCTGCGGCAGCCAGGAGTGGGATGCCGGAGGTTCCCCAGTGGGCGCCCAGAGGTTGGGGGTTGGGGGTTGGGCGCTACTTCAACCTGTGTCAGCCTCCCGGGGACAGCAGTCGCTTCGGCACGTCCCTTCACTTTCTGGAAGTCCCATAGTGCTGCTCTACACTGAGACTTGAGCTACCTTGGTGTTGCAATGTGGGAGAAATGATATGCTTTTAAAAGACACATACCTGGGGCGCCTGGGTGGCTCAGTGGGTTGAGCCTCTGCCTTCGGCTCGGGTCATGGTCTCAGGGTCCTGGGATCGAGCCCCGCATCTGGCTCTCTGCTCGGCGGGGCGCCTGCTTCCTCCCTCTCTCTGCCTGTCTCTCTGCCTACTTGTGATCTCTGTCTGTCAAATAAATAAATAAAATCTTCAAAAAAAAAAAAAAAAGACACATAACTAACGAGGGAAAAATGCAAGGGAATGTGGTGATAGAACCCGCTAGCACTGGGCGAGAGGCGCCTTCTCTTTCAAAAGTCGCCTCATTTATGGGTAGCCAGAGTTCCAGTCTCAGCTCATTCCCCGTTGTGTAGGCCTGGGGACGTTGTGTGAACTCTGTGTGCCTCGGTTCTGCACGATGGTAATGATAGCAGCTGCTTTATAGAAGAGCTGTAAGGTTTGCAAGAACACCTGATTCATAATAAGGGTTTGCTGTTGCGACTATTACAGCTTCCTCCCAGAGCACTCCCGCAGCTTGATTGGATATGATGTCTTTTGGGCTGTCCCCTTGACTGTAACCTGCACCGTTTCTCAAGAGTGTAAGTATTGTTTTAACTCTGTCCTCAAGGTCTAACACTACCCTTGGTACAGAAGAATTTCTTATTCAAATGCATACTTACCTCCCATAATCCGCCTCCTAAGTCATGCCTCCTTTCCTTGATTTTTGTCTTCCCACTGCCTGCCACAGGTGTGCAATCAGCGTTGCTGAATAATTAATGGAAACCTCTGCCCTGGAAATTTTTTTTTAACGAACCTAACACACAAACATTTGAAAACTATTACAGTTCATTCCATTTACTATCATTTTACTTACCATTTACAAACAGCCACCGAAGTGCAATTTCTACAAAAAACTGTATTTTGCTTTCTTATTTTCTTTACCAAGTACTTAAAAAACAAGCAGAAATTGGTTGGTTGAATATCAAAGTAGTGGTCAAATTTTAAGCGAAAATAACTGATGTTTTTCTAACCGTGAAGATAATATTAGTAGAAAATTCAAGCAATACCTTGCCTTCCCCATAAGTGGCTAAAAAACAATAGGATGAGGGCAGTTAAAGGAACAGAGGAAGCAACCTGGAAGACCCTAGTGGCCAAAGCCGGAAATAGTTGAGCAACAAAATATCACCATGCTGGATTACAACCCAAAGTATCAAGTAAATGTACATGCACTCATGCTGATAAAAATAAATGATTGAATGAATAAATTGGGGATAAGGGACAAATTCTCCCTACAGAAGAATTCTATATAATACATGTATGTAACTGCCACTAGGAGGTAGAGCTTAATTCTTCTCCACTTGAGTTAGGGCTAGGCTTAGTGATTTATTTCCAGAGAATAGAGTATGGAAAAAGAAAAACAGTAACTGGCAGACACCACCTTAACCAACTGACCAAGGTAAACATCACTGGTGATGTCATGTTGATATCATGTGCCCCCTAAAATGATGTGATGAGGACCTTTTATCTCTGTAGTATCCTTCCAAAAACCCACAACTCTACTATAATCGTGGGGAAAACATCAGACAAACCCAAACTGAAGAGCATTTTATAAAATATCTGAGCAGAACTCTTCAAAACTGTCAAGGTCATGAAAAACGAGAAAAGACTACCACAGACCAGAAGAGACCAAAAGACATGATGACTATATGTAGTGCAGGAATCCTGGATACAATTTTAGAACAGAAAAAGCACTTTAATAGAAAAACTAGTGAAATCTGAATGAATTAGTTAATCCCAGTGTTAACTTCTTCATTTTCACAAATGTATCATAGTTGATATAACATGTGAACATTAGAGAAAATGGGGTGGAGGACGTTTGGAAATTCTCCACTGTCTTTGTAACTTTTTTATAATCTAAATTTATTCTAAAATTTCAAGTTTCTTTTTTAAGAAACAAAGTGAATCAAATCCTAAACCCCACCTATCCAGAGATAACCCCTTTTATTATTTTGGTGAACATCATTCCACTTAATTCTATGTAAAAATACATGTAAACATGCAATTGTGTATACATAAGTTTCATACTATAAATGCTGCTTTTTATCTTTACAATAATATATAATGGAAACCTCCATGCTGATGAACATAGATCCATATTCTTCTTTTCAAATGACTGTGAAAGATTCCATTGTCTGTAAGTGCCATACTTACATAGCTACATATATGGGTTGTTTCCAGTATTTAACTCATAAACCATATTGCATTGAATAATGTTATTTTTTTAAGATTTTATTTTAAGTAATCTCTGCACCCAATATGGAACTAGAACTTAAACCCCAAGATCAAGATTGCATGCTCTACGGAGACAGCCAAGCACCTCACAATGAATATTCTTGAGTATACATCACTGGATGCCAGATCAGTTCTTGCTCTAGAATAATGCCTGAAACTGGAAGTTCTATTTCCTTTTAGTGAAGAATGGTATTTACTATCCAACCTCTGGGTATTAGGCGTGTTCGTTGTTACTGGAGTTTCACTGCTCTCAAGCTCTCTCTGTGGACAAAGCTAGGGAATATAGACACACATATGCACACATCTCCAACCTTATACCTTGAAAATCATGAATTCTTAATATCACCAATTCTAAGACCACAGGTTCACTCTAGTCTTTTCCTTTTCCACTTTTGTAACTTCCTTTTTTGGGCAGTGAGAAACTTGACTTTCATCAACCTTGACATATCTAATTATTTGAGCAATTCCCTTGTATGCAACTAATCTTCAATTTGACCACCATCCCCTTCCTTGAGCATGTTCTTCTTACCTCTTTTCAGCTCATTCCCCAGGCCGACCCACCCCTTGAAGGGTGGATCCTCCACACCCTGGATGGAGTAAAATGTTAGCATTAGAGGAAACTGAACAAATGCCATTTGGGAACTCTCTCCCCTTGTCTTTGCAACTTGTCTGTAATCTAAATTTACACCCATGCAGAGCCATCAGACCCCCACCTGCACCCCATTTCTGCCCTGTATCTGTGGATGCCTGTCTTACTCTCACCTCTAATGGCTTTAGGACTAAATTGTTGAGAAAGGAGGGATGCAGAAGGGGTCATATTCCCACTTCATCTCATGTCCTTTGTTGGCCTTCTAAAAGTTTAATCATATTAACCATTTAACAAAACATGTTTGGACATAGGAAGAGTCAACTTAACCATGAGTAATGTTTCATATTGCTATCTTCTTGGTGAGCGCCACTTCTCAGAACTATTAAATGATAGGCCAAAAAACACACTTAATGAGCATACTTGAATTGAAAGAACAGTAAAACAAAAGAAAATAAACAAAAACAAAACAGGGGTGCCTGGGTGGCTCCGTCAGTTAAGCATCTGACTCTTGGTCTCGGCTCAGGTCATGATCCCAAGGTCCTGGAATCTAGTACTGCATCAGGCTCCCTGCTCAACAGGGGCCTTCTTCTCCCTCTGCTTGTTGCTCTCCCTGCTTGTGCTCTCACTCTCTCTCTCCATCAAATCAATCAATCAATCAATCAATCTTTAAAAAAAATGAAAAACAGAAGCAGCTGTATTGCATCCCTTCCCTTTCTAACAAATGGCTTTAACTTTTATTAGTTCTGCTTTTCAGCTAGCCCTCTCTATCAGCCTTTTCCTTGCCTTTCAAGATCTTGATGGAAAGCCTCCCTAGTGGGCTAGCTCACTTCAATACCCAGGCCAGCGAGAGTTCTTGGTGATGATTAGGGCTGGACCACCTTCTGCGAGAAAGAGGCAAGGGAAATTGCCACCAAGCCGGGTAGACAGCGGTGGAAGGAGCTACATTCATGTCACTGGGGCTCTTCTAGCAGGAGGACATCATAAGGAACATCATTAAAACAAGTGTCATCTGAAGAGGAACTGATCAGGGCTCTGGGAAAGCAGATCAGAATGACAAGATTTAAATCTGTTTTCGGTCTCACCTGTCATTTGCTGGCTTCATAAAGCAAAGAAACCCTGCAGTCTCATTGCTAGAGAGATGGAGCCAGGAGTTTTGAAACTAGAAAAAGACTTGAGAACCTGAATCATGGCAATCTAAAAGGATCCGGGATACTTATAATCCTCACTTCTCTCTTCATTGCCAGTCACTTCCCAGTCACATAAATATTGTATTCACTATTTTATGACAGCAGTTGTTCTTCGCACAGTAGCAGATTTGAGATCTGCCAATTATTCAGTTTTTCTGTTTCTCTTTTTTTCTTCTTACTTTTCAACTTTTTTCTTTCAAAGGAGCGAGTTGTGTACAGGGGGTTAAAATGCTTTATAGACAAGAAAAAAACTGCGCTAGTAACAACTTGTCCTCTTCATCTTCCTTGTCTTCCTTGTCTGCCTACTTTTTCTTGCTTTTTTCATCCTTGATGACTCCTTTTTCCCCACATCCAGTCTTTCCTTTAGCTCAGTGTATCCTTTTCATATTTTTCCTGCAACCTGGTGGCCTCCTTTTTGTGAGACTGCTTGTCAACTGCAGCAGCATCACTCCACATCCCTCCCAGTTTCTTTGCAAGGTCACCAACAGATAGGCTGGGATGTTCTCCTTTGATTTTAGGGCAATACTCAGAACAAAATGAGAAAAAGGCCACAGAAGGTATCTTGGGTGCATTGGGATCCTTGAACTTCTTTTTTTTGTTTCCCCTTTAGAGGGGATCTAAG